ATATATATAGGATACAGGCCACACCCCCTAGGAAACTCCCCTTACAACTGATTGGCTGATCACAGCAGATCACATCATGGAGGATGACTACATCATTACATAACTGCCAAACTGCATCATTATATAACTGCCAAACTATATCATTACCTAACTACCACACAACTGAGAATCATGGCCCATCCAAGTTGACACACAACCTTAACCATCATGAATTGGAATAGATTTATTTTGGATAATTTCTTGGCCAGAGTGACTTGTTTATTCTTGACTGACTGAATTTAGTCATAAAGATTCTGTTCTTTTTGGACTTGGAAGTATGACAGGAGATGATAGGATGTTAGAGATGAAACAAACTGTATATTATTTAGTCTTGGGTTCTTAAACCTATTTTGGGTCACAGACCCCCTTTGTGGATCTGGTAAAAACTATGGGCCTACTCCCCGATAAGTGCATATACATGTAAAATTTTGTACATAATATAAGGGCATTTATGGAACCATGAAATATCTATAGATTCTGTAGGTCTGTGGACTCTAGATCTGGTTCCCTGACCTCATCCAATCCTATTTTCCATTCCAGGAGATAGGCCCAGAGAGGAGAAGTGACTTATCAAAAGCTATATTATAGGTGTTTATAGCCATTTTGATTTTGAGGTTATACTTTAAATAATCACTTTAAACCTGAAAACCAAACCTGTAGCTGTCAAGTCGATTCCAACTCATAGCAACCCTATAGGAGTGAGTAGAACTGCCCTGTTGAGTTTCCAAGGAGTGCCTGGTGGATTCGAACTGCCAGCCTTTTGGTTAGCAGCCATAGCTCTTAGCCACTACGCCACCAGGGTTGCCAAATACTCACCTTAGGTATATACAATTGTAGTTTTTTGCATTGTGCTTATTATTTTTACTTTATTGCCTTCACAGAAGTAATCTTAATAAAGTGCATAACAGGTAGTTAAAGCTGTGATGGTACCCAAAAGGAGTATATTAGTCCACAGTAAGCGAGTTTTTGGAAAGTCAAAGTTGCTGTAACAGAGTTGCTCACATTCTTAAAAAATTAAATGTATAAGTCACTATATACAGTTACAAGGTTTTTAATAAAAAGTTGAACATTTGTGTATCTGTGTTTTGTGGGACATGAATGTGCCCTTACTGCTAGAATCCTGCTGTGTTATTTTCTTTTTCAGTACATCAAACAGGGTGTGGATAAGGCCCGCCTTGCACCAGGTGGGAGATCTGGGTAGTGGCATTGAGAATAGAGATCAGATTTGCCCTCATTTAGCATTCTTTACTCATTATTACCACTATTTCCTGCATACTTACTTCTACAATGGGCAAAGAAGAAATTTCAAAGTTCTAAGTGATAAATTTACTGATAATATGTATTAAACACTTCTGGTGGACCGCTTACATTTGAAGAATTTAAAGTTTGTTTTCTTTATAGTTTTAGGGGAAAGAGTGTTGTTGGGGAGCTACCTAGTATCTTTGTGTATTTATGCTCTGTAACCTGGAGATTGTGCACACACACCAGACAATTCAGTGATGGAAAGGAGCTGGGCAGTAGTACTCTTTTCTCCTGAGCTCCCCTTGATGATTGGATGACTTAGCCTTGTTTTGTAATGAGGGATCTCACGGTACATCATCATTTTGCTATTGTGAATAGTGCTGTGGTGAACATAGGTGTACATATGTCTGATTGTGTCTTTAGTATTAGATCTTTAGGGTATATACCTAGAAGTGGGATTGCTGGATCATGAGGTAGTTCTGTTTCTAGTTTTTTGAGGAAGCACCGTACCATTTTTCATAGTGGTTGTCCCATTATACAGTCCCACCAGTGGATAAGGGTTCCCGTCTCCCCACATCCCTCTCCAGCATTTGTTGTTTTCTGTTTTTTTGATCAGTGCCATTTTAATAGGGGTGAGATGGTATCTCATTGTAGTTTTGATTTGCATCTCTAATGGCTAATGAGCACAAGCATCTTTTCATCTGTTGGCCGCTTGAATGTCCTCTTTGGTGAGGTGTCTGTTCATGTCCCTTGCCCATTTTTAATTGGGTTGTTCGTCTTTCTGTTATTGAGTTGTTGGAGTTTTCTATATGTTTTAGAGGTTAAACCCTTATCAGATATGTCATTCCCAAAGCTCTTTTCCCAGTCTGTGGTAGGTTGTCTTTTTTCTCACAGGACATCAGCATAAACATTTTTAGTCTCACCATTTTGTTTCTCTTGGTAGTTGTCTTTTTTTTTTTTTTTTCCAATGGTAGTTTAAATTTTTCTCAAAAGGCTAAGCAGAGATGTCTGAGATGGAAGAATTTTCCTGAAAGTAATATGAGAGATGTTAGAGTGGATGCTGAGTTATGATCTGAATTTATTATTTTCTTTCTTTAGAATGTATTTTCCCTAAAGTTGGCAAAAACTGTATTTTTCCTTCCATAAGCAGTGTGGTATCAATCTCATGCTACTCTGAAACATGCTAGTTTTAATTACAGACCCAAAAATTTTCATAAATGGAGGAACCTTAGAAATCATCTAGTTCAAATCCTGTTATTTTCGGTATTCTTGCAACTAAGATACTGCAGGTGTCCTTAGTGAGAATGATGGTAGGTAGGACCCATGGAAGAAGGTCTAGGTCTGTCTGACCTCAATCTCTCTTAATGTGCATAATGTTTATAGTTTGTACCCCACACAATGAATAAGGAAGACCAAAGAAGAATTGATGCATTTGACTTATGGTGTTGTGGAAGAATATTGAATATACAATGGACTGCCAGAAGAGCAAACAAATCTGTCTCGGAAGAAATACAGCCAGAATGCTCCTTAGAAGTGAGGATGGTGAGACTCCGTCTCACGTACTTTGGACATGTTATCAGGAGGGACTCGTCCCTGGAGAAGGACGTCATCCTTGCTAGAGGGTCAGCGAAAAAGAGTAAGACTCTCAGCGAGATGGATTGACACAGTGGCTGCAACAATGGGCACAAACATAGCAACAATTGTGAGGATGGTGCAGGACCAGGCAGTGTTTCATTCTGTTGTACATAGGGTTGCTATGAGTCAGAACCAACTCGACGGCACCTAACAACCTCACACTTGAGCATTAGTCCTATACTGTCAGCCTTTACTTCATATGTTAATCTTGCCAGAAACTAGATTATTAACATCTGAAGGTCAGTGATAGTATGGTGTATGTTTGTGCTGCAACCCCTATGATACTGAGTAAATATGTAGGTGGTGCATACTGAGTAACTTGGATAATTCTGTAAGAGCTGAAGAGCAGAGTTATTTGAATCAGTCATCTGTACCTTTCTTATCTTTGGAGAGTACATTTGGTCAGAAATCAAGTTTTTCATATACTTCACATATGAATGAATTGTTTTAAGTAAAATAATTTTTGGAACATTGAAATTATATGAGCCAGCATCCTGGGAAGTATTTTTAAATGGTATCAGAATTTATTTTAACTTGGACTAACTGGAAAAAAAGACCCCAAAAAACACAGTCTGAGAAAGCAGCAAAGGGTGTCTGGCCAGTGAAGGTTAGGATCATTCCCACAAATGGGAATAACCTTTTCTGTACATTAAATTCCAGGATTTAAATAATAAGTTAAATCTCTTGGCTCCTGCTGACCTGGTAAGAATCTGACCTAGTAGAGTTTCATGTCTTTCCGTTTCCCATGGCTAAGGGGATCCTTGGTGTAAGTGACTGAGATTATGGGGAAGTTCCTTGACTGAGATAGAATCCCTCAAGCCTTACTTCAAGTACCAGCCTGTGTGTTTCTGTTTTTTGTCTGGAGCTTGTGAACAGAATTGGGCTCTCGCTAATGGCCCCCTTTCAGCAGCCATGTATGGATAAAGCTGTTCAGTTCCCTGCTCCTCCCTCTCTGAGCAAGGAGCAGAATCTGTTCTGCTGAAGCTGCTGTTCCACTTTTCAGCTTTCTATATTTGTACAGCAACAGCAGGAGCAGCCCACTTGCTAGGCCGTATGGCTGCCCCGTGCACCCATACTGGCTTGGGCCTGCTCAGGACTCAGCCAGGGCTTGCAGTTTGTGTTCTTAACGTGCATCCATCTGTCTGTCTGTGTACATTTCTGTGGAGGACTGAGGTTTTCGAGTGAAAGAGGTGACCTGTTTGTCTTCTTTTGTCTTTAGTATTGTCAATTATAAATTGTAGAGAATGTCTCAGAATTTTGGGCGTTGGATCGGGAGGTAAGGGTCGGGAGGTAAGATTTGTATTATGTAACAAAATCTGTTTCAGAGGAAGGATACCAGACTGGTAAATGTAAGGTCAGAAGTGGCCTGTGGTTTCTGTTAGAAACATATCTCATTGAAGTAGTAGTGGGTTCCCCCCTCCACCCTTGTTTTCAATAGGTCAGCTCTTAGAGGTGGAACCGAAATCCTTTCCTGCCATAAAGTTTGTGTAGAAAAGGATGAGACATTATTTCCACATCGTTTTGGAACAGGGTGCAGTAGGGGTTAAGCCTGTTGACTTGGCTGGCTGCTGGGAAAGGAACTGTGGGGGATGCCCTGCTGCTTTGGGCTGGGTTTGCACCGCTTCAGAGTGCTTTGTAAAGTTTGGCCTTATAGAGGCCTTGTAATGTCTTTTGGTGTCATGTCTATTTAAGGAATAGTAGGAGACATGACATGTAGACAGATTTCAGGCTATTTCCAAAGGGTATTGGATTTGTTACAGTATTTTAAAAGGATACTTTAGTTAGAGAAATGAATTCCACATTCTTGATCAACTGAAGTCTAAATTCAAGTTTCTTTGTTTTACAGTTTCCTTTTGTCTTCCTCCCCCACACCCCCATGAGTCATAAGCTTGCAGAGTTGGGAATAGAACTTGTCAGCTGAGTGGGAATGAGACAGTTCTGTGCACATTTTGGTAACTGTGGCTGATGAGGAAAGAGCAAAGGACTTTAAATGCTAGAGAAACACCTTTACTGTGGCAGCTTCTTTGACCTGTGACTGTGGTGTGTGGATGGAGTTCTGTGTGACCATTCACTGATGGATTCTGGCTCTGAATCACTTAGGAGTCTGTTCTGCGGCTTGTCCATTGTTGGCTTTGGATGTATGTGTTTGTTCAGGGCCTAGTACCTGGTGCTGAATCTCTCATGGGCCCTGCATACTTAATGAATTCCTAAAATTTTGTTTAGCATGGCATTAAATCCATCTTCACCTTCCCTTTCTTGACAACTCTTAGTGCCCATCTCATTTTGCCTTTCTACTAACGTTTTCCATTTACACTATGAATTATTGTTAACCTCTCTAGGGACTGTCTTCGGAGATTAAAATCAGAGACCGCTCTTTGATTTTATAGCTGAACCCCAGTAAATGACACTGTGCTAACCAACACATCTGTATCCCAGCTTTCCCTTTGTTTTTGATTTTTTTTGTAATTCATAATTTTCCCAGTCTCATTATATTGGTTTATATTTTTTCCACTGTATACATTTTGAAAGCTGCCCAAATCCTTTTTGATATGATAGGGGAATAAATAAATGTTTATAAATAAATAAGTGCTCTTAAAACCGAACAAATAGTTCAGTATTCTATAATGAAGATTGCAATTATAGTGGACACTAACAGACCCAGTGGGAGACAGAAGATCTGTCAGTTGGTTAGTGCCTTCTTACCTACTCCCTTCCCTCTCCCTTTCCAATTTCTGTGTAATCTTAGGCACCCCATTTTAAAGAGATTTAGTCATCTTGTCAAATAATTAAACTTTTTGGGATTCATCCTCTTTCACCATAGGCACGTGGAATAATAATGCTAGCAAACATTTATTGAGCACTTTCTGTGTGCCAGGCACTGTTCTTAATGTTTTATGTATATAAATTCTTTAATCCTAACACGCATCCTATAAAATGGATACTGTTACTATAATCATTTTACAGATGAGGAAATAGTGATATAAAGATGTTAAACAATTTGCCTAAAGTTAACTGGCTAGTAAGTTGACAAAGCTGGGGTTAGAAAGCAGTGGCATGACTCCAGAGTCTGGGTGTGGAGAATAAGACTTGCAGTAAATATTTGTCTTGATTTTATTAACACACTCGAAATATTATTTGGGATTATTGAGGTACGGATCTATCTAACCTTGTTTCATTTTAGAATTTCCTTATGAAAATGACTATGACTTTGGTTTTGCAGGTCGCCAAAAACTATACTAATTTTTATTTATTGACAGTAAAGAGCTGCAAGCCAAACAGCAAGTTTGTGGAACATCCCCAGCATTACTAGTTTATCTCACTAGTAGGAGTCCCTGGGTGGCGCAAATGGTTAAGCGCTTGACTACTGACCAAAGGTTGGCTTCAGACCCACCCAGAGGAACCTCAGAAGAAAACCCTGCTGCTTCCAAAAGTTCACAGCCTTGAAAACCCTATGGAGCAGTTATACTGTGCACATGTGGGGTCACAATGAATCAGCATTGCCTTGACGGCAGTGGGATTTTTTTGTTTGTTTTGTTTTTAACCAGACTCTACTGAAGATACTGAAAGCAGAATTAAGTTTTCCTTTTTTATCTCTTGTTCCCTGCTCCACACATCTTCTGGAGATGCCCTCACAGGGGGAGCATGGGAAGGGAGGACTGGCAAGTATTGCCTAATCGATAACCTCTGTAATCTGTAGAAGTGTAACAGGAGAATAAATCTGTTATTGAAAGCTGAGTAATTTCAGTGGAGGGTGGCAAAATGCTATTCTGTCATGAACAGTGTGATCAAATAGCACAAAAGGCAAGGAAAGAAAGAACCAGCTCTCCTGAGATTTTTAATCTCAAATTTATGGTAACATTTTCCCTTGGTGTCCTAGGTTCTTTGTTTCTAGTGTAAGAAACAAGACTATAAACTCCTTGAGGACAGGGATTGGGCCTTTCTTTTTTCTGGTATCTTTTTAGTTCAGGGTGTAGAATGGATGTTCTCTGCATGCTTTTTGATTGATAGATCTCTTATTTTATAAAGAGCTTGTTTTTGTAAAAATGAAATCAAAGGATTGACAAGTTTAATTCTGTGGAACAGTGGGATTTTCTTTTAGGAGTGATTAGAAGGAGGTGACAGAGATCATATAAATGGATATTTAAATGCGAGAAGCATTTTTAGGAGCACAATTGGAGAATGATGAAAACATGATAATTGAAGTCATTTAAAAAAAGAGAGGTATTTGGAACTTGTCCTAGGACTGCACATCTTTTGGGATGAATCAAGTTATGCTGGACGTACTCCCTAATTGGCTGAAGCAAAGGTGTAATTTTTGTACTTTATGGCATATAACCTGTCTCAGGAAGCATCTCCACAGAAGGAAGAACATTATTCGCTTCTCATTTTGTAGAATTATGAAATTAAAAATGAAAGAGATTGAATAAAGTTTCCTGCTTTTCAACAGAATAGGACAAACCTCCTGAGACAAGACCATATGGAAGCATCCTGCTTGAGTGCCCATGTGTTTGGGGTGAGGTTGGGGCAGATGGTGCAGGTGGGACTTTTGGCTGCTTGATCAAGGGTTTTGGAGATTATAGCGGTTAGATGCTAAGTTCTGTGGAAGGGTTTTGTATGTTGTATGTATTGAGTATGTCTGCCTAAGAGGTTTAGTGTTCTCAGCGACAGGATATTGATGTGTCATATTGAAGTATGGGTAAGATAAGGGAAGAGAAGGAGATACTGATTTAGAATGATAAAGCCTGCAATTTGATCTAAACCTATCTTTGAGATTAGGGAGAGGGTGCAAGATACAGTGTGAGAAACAAGATTTCAGGTCCGTGGTCTCTTCTGTTCTCTAGAGCCTTCAAGTAAGATATTGCAGGACTGTAGGATTTTTCTGTTTAAGCTTGAAGCTGTTTGATTCCATTTTGAGATACTAGGCCAAAAGCTGTATTTATAGAACTTGTTTTGACATATTATCTCACCCTGTTCCTTGCCTTCGTTACTGGAATCCGGTTAATGTTGCACTCTGCCTGGCAGCAAAGGTTGATTGAAGAAAACGTACACATAGGTATACAGCTGAAGGATTGAAAATAGCCCCAAACTTTGTAAATAGGTCATCCATACAGTTTCAGTTCAGGTTGCATGAACATCAGTTGAGTTGCTGGGAGAATTTCAAAAGGTGTAATTACCAGGTGCATGTGATATACTTTGCTGGTTCATCTGGGCAATGACTGTTCCCACATAAAAGTTTTAAGCAAAGAAGGAAAAAAAAATACTTGTTTTGAAAGAGAAGCATGAGTTAGGATTTTTCTTTACTTGGTGCTTCATAGTTTCAAGTCTTCTTTAAAACATTTTCTATAGAGTAGGTAACATCCATCAGCACCAAAGGCCATAAATGAAAAGTAGTTTTCCTTCCTACCTGTATCCCCCAATTTCCTACCTCAGCAACTACTATTAGCACTGTTTTCTTTATCCTGGCAGAGATATTCTGTTCACAGATAAGCCATATGTAGTTCCTTTATTATGTAAATCTATCCTCCTGATCAGTCCTTAGTAGTACATTCAGGGCTGCCTTGTTCTCTTTAATAGCTACAGAGTGTTCAGTTGTAGGGCTGTATTAGAATTTTTTTAACTAGCCCTCAGTTGATGGGCACATACGTTTCTAGTTTTTACTCTTGTGAACAATGGTCTTATGAATGCCTGTCTGCATACTTGGTGTACATGAGGTACAAGTTTATTTGTAAGCTGTATTTCTAGAATTGGAATTGCTGGATTCAAAGGGCATGTGCAGTTTTCACTATTGATAAGATCCTTAAGAGCCCTTTTTATATGTTGCAGTTACCCACTGAAGAATATTGTTAGTGGAGAGAGATCTTGACAGTACACTGGCAGTCAAACTTACGTCACCCCAGACAGTTACTAGAATGAACAGATGACCTGAAATACCCAAAAGATTTAAGAAACCACTTGAGATAAGCTTAATTATCAAATCTGGTAATGATTATTGCTGGAGAAGAGGCAAGTTGTCTAGAGTAGACAGGAGCAGCCCTTCCTCATTTTGGGGAGAATGGGATTTGGTGATGGTAGCCAAATTTCTACTTTACTCAAAATGTTAATTTCACCATTTATGATATCTGTGAATTGGAAAAAAACATTTGTGGGCTGTGGCCCATGCAGTCCTTTTCTCTTGAAGCTACTTTGGTGAGTATCACGAGACCATCTAGTACCAGAATTAGCCTGTAAATTCCAGGCAGTTGTTTTACCTAGAGTTTACTCATCATTTCAGAAAATAAAAGCAAAGTAACATTTTGAGTTTTCCAGAAAAAAACATTTTACAAATTTTGGCATACTTTACCAAATGGAGGCCCATGACTCAAATTCTGAGTCCAAATCTCAGTTGCTGGTTGTGGAACACAGGTCACTTAATCAATTCTCTTCACTTTATTTAGTTCCCTTATCTGAAAAAATGAGGGTGGAAATGCTGAAGAATCTCCTTTGAATATTCAGAAAAATAAAGTCATTTCCAGAAGGTTGTGTATTATAGAAATGACTCTTCAGAGACATCAAGATTGTAAGGTAATTTCAAAAGTAACTCTTGACAGTATTTTAGAAAAAAATTAGTCACATTCTGCCTACATGGGACTAACATATGGTGCAGCCCTGATGAGCTGCACAAGTGGGCTGAAATCAAGATGCAGTTGGAGAGAGGAGCAGTGGTGACTCATTAGATGAGACAGATTTGGCCTTATGGCAGGGCAGTGAAACCAAGGAGGAACTGGTGATCTTGGAATGTGCCAAATTTGAGCAAGTGATAATATGAATATTACGGAAAAGTTAAATGACTGAGCCCTTGTGTTAGAATTGGCTCTTTGTCTAGTGTCATGCTCTCTGTAATTAGTCCCCTTCTGTGGCTTCAGAGCCCCCAATTCTTCCAAAAAATGGGGAGCCTTTGCTGCCTCTGTCTTCTGTGCATTGTTTCCTGTGTCTTTGAAGGTAGAAGCCACGAGGCGAATACTTAACATTGATATGCCTGGACTGTTGGGTTCAGACTAGAGAGATAGCATAGAAGATTTAGTAATTCTGCTCAGAGAAAGCTGCATAATAGCTTAGCTACCATACATAGATTGCTACTGCTGTATCCGGCAGTGTGTTGCCCAATACTGACAGTGCTGTCATGGGAAGGAAAGATTGGGATAAGAGGGGGTAAACCTAATGGAGAGTTGAGAATTACTTTGAAAGCATGGTATTTTGGTAGGAAGTAGAAAAGAGATAAAGAAATGTGTTTTGCATTCCTAGTCTGCCTCACCAGGGCACTACAAAATAGAGTGTCTCTCAGATGAGATGACCTCTTGCGTAGGTACATATATAGTCATATGGAAAGGTCACATAACTAAACAGGAAAGAGCCAGCAGATCAGGAAAAGGAAGGAGAAGACTAAAGAGCCCAACCCATCCACCCGCTTTCAAATTTGGTGTACCACTTTTTGGTAGTGATTTCAGAGGATTTAGTAATTATGTTGGTTTTGTGAAATGGGTGTTATATTTATTGGTTGTGGCATATAGGTAAGGATGCTATTGGCAAAGTTCAACTTCAAGCCATTTCTAACTCTAATCTTTAAATATTGGCTGCCCACCATGTTGCTCTTACCTGAGTTCCACAATTCACAGGGGGGAAAAAGGCTTTTTTTTTTTTTGAAACCAAAATGCAAATATTTAATGTGTAGATATGTCTCAATTTAAGAAAATGCGAATGGAAAAATTCACAAACTAGAGTAGATAAACCAGAGGATTCAGTTCAGCAATTGAATGTCTGATATGTGTTATCTTTATTCTAAGTATTCTGGGAATGTAAGTGTATAAGAGAAGAATGAACTTGTTAGTAATTTACAAAATGATGACAGTAGGAATATATTTCATTAACAACCACAAAAAAAAAAAAAAGAGTTTTCAGAAGTGTATCATATAATTCTGGTATGTGGCAGAGAATGAACCAGACCTGGGTTATGAGCCTTTGGATAACTATTTATAGTCTGTTTGGAGAAAATATACTTTTAGATGTCTTACTGATAGTCTAGATTAATCTAGTCCTGTCTTCTAGTTTTATAGATGAGGAAACTGAGGCCGAGAAAAAGTGACTCAGGATCACACAGATGGCATCAGACCTGGTCTTTGTCCAACATGCTTTCTATTTTGTTAGGTTGCAGCAGAGGGAGTCAAGAGGGGGACCATTCTAATGGTGGTTGTGAGCCCCTTTGAGAATCTGATGAAAGCTGTGGGTTCTCTCTTCAGGAAACTTCACACGTTCATTCATCTTCACAGTGTTTAGCATAAAATATCATAGGGTTCATAGACTTACCCTTCCTTCCCCAAAGCCTACAGATGAACTCCAGAGGGGTCTGAGAGTTCCAGGTTAAGAAGCCTGACGAAAGAGGAATGTTTTAAAAATTGTTGCCACTATAGAAAAGATGAGCATACTGGCCACTGTGGAGAAAGGAGATGAGATTGAGCTCTGTTTATAAACATCTCTATTAGGATTATGTAGAGGACACACATGGATGACTCATTAGTCAATAAAGAGTCTGAAGCCCCAAACTTAAGCCTGAGTCATGAAAATAGACTAGCTGAGTAGCCATAGAACAAGTGTCACAAGGAAAAGATGGAGATTTTCCCACAGTATAGAAAACCTTCAGGGCGTAGTGGTTAAGAGCTACAGCTGCTATCCAAAAGGTGGGTGTTTCAAATCCACCAGGTGTTCCTTGGAAACCCTAGGGGGCCGTTCTCCTCTGTCCTGTAGGGTCACTATGAGTCGGAATCGACTCAATGGCAGCGGGTTTGGTTTTTAATAGAGAAAGTGTTAAGTCTTATCCCTACTGACTAAGACAAGTCAAATGATGTGCAGGACCTGGACTGTGTAGTGTAGAGCAAGTTATCACAGTGAAAGGAGATACTCTGGGAATGATAGGACTAGAAGAACGGGTACTTTGTGTGCTTTAGCGTACCTGTTTAATCCACCTCACTCGAACGAATAGAAATCGTCCTCATTGTACAGATGAGCAAAACAGTTAATGTTAGTTTCTCTAGGGTCTTTTGAGGTAGATCTTATCCACTATTAATATGATGTGTGTGTGCCCAGGATCCTAGATCAGATCTGGTGGCAACTGCTATTCACCTGCTGCAGGTTCCCAAGGAAGACAGGAAGATTGGCTGGCTGCTCCAGGCAAACTGCTGGATTTCAGCATGAATCCTCTGGTGGAGTTTCACATCATAATGAACTGATGGGTTGCTGTCGAAGTTGATTGTGACTCATAGCGACCCTATAGGACAGAGTAGAACTGCCCCATAGGGCTTCTCAGGAGCGCCTGGTGGATTCGAATTGCCGACCTTTTGGTTAGCCGCTGAGCTCTTGACCACTGCACCACCAGGACTCCATAATGAACTGGGCTAGCCTGAAAAGCTTCGAATTTGGTCCCTTTTTGTGATTACTTGGTTTCTAGGGATGCGGGTAGGAGGACATGCAGTTTTCCAAAACCGAAAGCCCAATCTTATTGAGCTAGTCATATTATAGGAGGAAAAAGAGTTAAAGAGGATGGCAAGCAGTCCAAGAGGCAACAAGCGTTAAAGAGTACAATTTCCGCAATTCATTTCTGAATTGTCACTTTCCTCTCCAGTTAGAAGAGCTTGATTGTAACCCAGTCATCCACTTGGTCCTTTACTTTTATTGGTGAACTTAGACCTATGGATCAGGGTAGGAGAGAAGAAAAAATCCCTTGAGTTGTCCCTTCTTTGAGGTATATAGTCAAGCCCTCTTTTACAGATGAGGAAACTGAGACTTAAAAATGTTAACTAACTTGCTCAAAGTCACACATCTACTGAGTAGCAGCAGGAATTTTTCACCACCCTTAATCATATCTCTTTGGAGACTTTGGGTGTTTTACCTCCTCACAAGATCTTTAGAAAAATAGTTGGACTCAACTTTATGGTCCTCAGCATTTAGACAGTCATTTCTGTGGTTTATGCGCATGATCTTTGATAGTTTTACCCTCAGGGAGGCTTTTACCCCAGGATAGGACTGCCTGGCTTTATGTATATCCCATCTCTTTCATTGAGTCCATGTGACTGTGAAGAAGCTACTTAATTTCTGTGTGCCTTTTCTCATCTGTAAAATGGAGAGAGGACAGCCATGAAGATTAAATATAAAGCACTCAGAACAGTGCATGGCATACAGTAGATGCTCAATAAATGTTAGCTATTATAATTTTGCAAAATGTGTGGCCATTTCTCCAAACTTTCAGGTGATAAGGGTGTGTAAACTTTAAATACCATATTCCATCAACTCAAGAGGATCAGCATTTATTACCATTGATAGCATCTTATATTCATTGATTTGTGGTAGCCTACTAGATTCTGATGAGGCTTTGGTGTTCAGTGGTAGAATTCTCGCCTTCCATGTGGGATACCCAAGTTCGATTCCTGGCCAGTGCACCTCATGTGCAGCCACCATCCATCTGTTAGTGGAGGCTTGTGTGTTGCTATGATGCTGAATAGGTTTCAGAGGATCTTCCAGACTAAGATGATTTAGGAAGAAAGGCCTGGCAGTCTACTTCCAAAAATCAGCCAGTAAAAACCCTACAGTTTGCAGGGTTGCCATGAGTCAGGGCCAACTTGACAGCAGCTAACAACAACAACACTAGATTCTGAAGATAGAAATATCTGCTATTTAAAAAACTATTTATTTCAAAGCCAGATATAAGCTTGGTGAGTTATCTATTGTTTTGAATTACTCAGGCCAGTTTTCATGTTTTCCAGGAGACCTAGGATTACCCTGAGGGCTGGGAGAGGCAAACAGGTGGAGCCTGCCTTACCTTCTCTCTATTTTCAACCCTGACAGCCTCACTTTTATGTTTAGGGGGAACATACTTCTACTTTAAAAAAATGTTTGAAAACCTCTAATCTGAATAGTTGTTTAATTCTTCATAAGCTCCCTGCTTTGCATCAAAAAAGTTTTTCAAAGTATTATTAAGGGCCGTTACTAACAATTGTTATAAGAGTTAAGGAGTGTTCAAGAAAAGGTTTAAACACAGAAGTAAACATTTCTTTGATGGTTGCGAGGGCGGGCAGGGAGGGTGAGAGTTATTCACTAACTAGATAGTAGACAAGAATTATCTTCAGTGAAGGGAAGGACAGCACACACTGCAGGGGAGGTCAGCACGACTGGACTAAACCAAAGCTAAGAAATTTCCTGAATACAACCAAACACTTTGAGGGACAGAGTAGCTGGGGCGGAGGTCTGGGGACGACCATGCTTTCAGGGGACGTCTAGGTCAACTGGCATAACAAAGTTTATTAAGAAAATGTTCTTCATCCTACTCTGGTGAGTGGCGTATGGGGTCTTAAAAACTAGCGAGCAGCCATCTAAGATGCATCAATTGGTCCCAACCCATCTGGAGTAAAGGAGAACGAAGAACACCAAAGACACAAGGAAAGTATTAGCCTAAGAGACAGAAAGGACCACATAAACCAGAGACTACATCAGCCTGAAACTGAAAGAACTAGATGGTGCCCGGCTACCACCGATGACGGCGCCCTGACAGGGAACACAACAGAGAGTCCTGGATGGAGCAGGAGAAAGGTGGGACGCAGAACTCAAATTCTAGTAGGAAGACTGACTGAGACTGGAGGAACCCTAGAAAGCATGGCCCCCGGACTCTCTGTCAGCTTAGTGCTAAAACCATTCCCAAGGCCAACGCTTTAGACAAAGATGAGACTGGACTATGGGACATAAAATGATACTCATGAAAAACGTGCTTCTTAGCTCTATTAGATACATAAGACTAAACGGGCAGCTCCTGTCCAGAGGTGAGATGAGAAGGCAGAGAGGGTCAGGAGCTGGTTGAATGGACACCAGAAATCGGGGTGGAAAGGAGGAATGTGCTGTCACAGTATAGGGAGAGCAATTAGGGTCACATAACAATGTATGTATAAATTTTTGTAGGAGAGACTAACTTGAATTGTGAACTTTCACTTAAAGTAGAGCAATTAAAAAAAAAAAGGGAGTCTTGCTAACGAAGCCAAGGTCCTGGGTTCAGGACTTCTGTAGGTCATTGAGTATCACTGCCACCAGACTGTCTCTAGAGTTTGTGGTTTAGGCATACTATGGCTGCAACAGTGGGCTCAAACATAGCAGCAGCTATGAGGATGGCACAGGACCCAGCAATGTTTCGTTCTGTTGTACGTAGAGTCAGAGTTGGAACCTGACAATAACAACATGTAACAGCTGCTGATGGTGAGTGAGTCAATTGCCGTCTCTATGGGAAGGATAGTTATTTTGTCATTTACTCAGCATATAGTCTGTATAGGCCATCAGAAAATTCTGAGAAAAAGTCTAGTTAACTTTGCCTACTCTAAGGAAGGCTTGTAGGCTGGCTGAGTTTTTATGTGGGCCCCGAGAGGGAGTGCTGTGTGTTCACTCTTGCATGCTTGGTCTGAAACCATCCGTGAATAGTGTGACCACCATTTATTAGTTCTCAAACATATTCCAAAACCAAATGTAAATTCTCTCCAGATTATTTCTCTTCACTTGGGGAGACTGTGGAATAGGTAGCTTGCCTTTGGGAATTCCTGTACCATTGACTTGCCAAGTACAATTTGTAGCTTCCTGTGAAGTCATGTTTTGAACATATTAGCATATCACAAGCAGATAATACTGCTTGTTTCCCTCAGAGCTAGATTACCCTCATCCTTCCCTTCTCTGTCACTTTGGTACCTCCACCACCACCACCCTAGTCTTCTTGGCACTCTTTTTTCTCCTGAACTCTTTTACCAAAGAGTTACTTTTTTTACCAAAGATTCCAAAGAGATTTGGAATGGCCTTCATACTTCCCATTCCCTGCATGGTGATAAAGAAAGGTGGAGGTAATGTTAATATAAACAGACAGTTCTGTGAGCTGCAAGCAAGTACAGGACATAGTTCAGGTTTCCTTACAGAGCTTATGCAGTTTAGGTTCCCCACAGTAATGAAAGATGTAAAAAACTCAGACCTAAACCTTTCAGTTTTCATTTTCCATTCAGCTTTCCTCTCACCTAAGCATTTCTTTTTTCACCCAGCCTAGGCAACAGAGGGAGCTCTGGTGGCGTAGTGGTTAAGAGCTCAGCTGCTAACCAAAAGGCAGTTCAAATCCACCAGCTGCTTCTTGGAAACCCTATGGGGCAGTTCTACCCTGCTTATAGGATCACTATGAGTTGGAACCGAGTTGACGGCACTTAACAACAACAGGCAACAGAATGTAGGAAAAGTAAAACTGGGAAGACAAAGCTTTTTAAGAAAATACCTTCTTGTATATACTGTCCTTATATACAGTGAAACAGTCCTGTGTGAAGGAATACAGTCTTGATCCTTTTTTTTGTGTTTGAGTTTTCCTTTAAAAAGTCTTTGGGTGATTTAGGGGCAGAGTGATTAGTATCCCATTTATGTGAATTACTTTTTTTTCCCCAGCTTTTTAAATTTTATTTGTTGAGAATATATACAGCAAAACATTTATCAATTCAGCAGTTTCTAACATGTACCACTTAGTGACATTGATTGCATTCTTCAAGTTGTGCAACCGTTCTCACCCCCATTTCACCCCCATTTTCTGAGTTGTTCCTCCACCATTAACATAAATTCACTGCCTCAAGCTTCCTATCTGATCTTTCAAGTTGCTGTTGTCAATTTGATCCCATATAGATAGCTCTTAAAAGAGCTTACTACTTGAGGCAGACATTTTTTACTAGTTAAGCTAAACTGTTTGGTTTTAAGAAAACTTCAGTGATATTTTTGGTTTAAGGTTTAAAGATTATCTCAGGGCAGTAGTTTAAGGGGTTCTTCCAGCCTCCATGGCTCCAGAAAGTCTGGAGTCCATGAGAATTTGAAATTCTGTTCTGTTTTCCCCCCTCCCCTTTTGATCAGGATTCTTCTATAGGATCTTTGATCAAAATGTTCACTAATAGTAGCTGGGCACCATCCAGTTCTTTTGGTCTCATGTTTGTGAATTATTTTTTAAAAAAGTATTTGTTTTTCTCTTTCTCTTGACTAGGCCTTAAGGGCTGTTGTGTTCTCTGGGACCTAGAAATGTGTCCCTCACAATTTCATACACTGGCCTTTCTTACAACCCTAAGCCTCCTTTTTGCTCTCTATATCCTAGAGATCCCCGACTAACATGCAGTCTGAGTCTGGCCTTTCAAGAGTTGAAGTAAAAACCTGTAAAAACCATTCACACAACAGCAGCATTTCTCAAACGGTAGTCCATGGAAAACTTTGGGAAAAATGGTCCCTGGCCTTTTATTGGCCCTTCATATCTTCCAGAACAAAACTAGTAAGTATAAGTTTAACTTGCTCTCTACCCTCCAAGGTAATTGGTACTCTAGAGCCCTCTCAAGACACATTGTCTCAATAAAAGCTTGTACCTGCTAGATGATGGTCACATTTCTCAAGAGAGACTGTGTCGCATAGTGGTGGAAAGAGACTCTAGGGTTTGACTCCCATCTGTAGCAGGTTTATCTTCCTTAGCATCTGAAGCCTTAGAGTAGTCCCCACCTTCAGTGGGATCATACAGTTTGAATGAGGTATTGTGAGCTTAGTAAATGTAAGTTCCTTTTCTCTTAATAACTTTTTTTTTAAAATTGTACTTCAGGTGAAGGCTTACAGAACAAATAGTTTCTCATGAAACAGTAGTACACATATTGTTTTATGACATTGGTTAACAACCCCACAACATATCAACCCTCTAACTTCTCAACCTCTTTTTTTTTTTTTTTTTTTGGTGAAAATACACATAGCCAAAGATACACCATTTCAAAAATTTCTACATGCACAGTTCAGTGACATTGACTACGCTCTTCCAATTGTGCTGCTATTCTCACTTAAGATGAAGGCTTACAGAACAAAATAGTTTCTCATTTAACAGTTACTACAGATGTTGCCCTATGACAATGGTTAGCAATCTCACAACACATCAACAATATCCTTACTCAGCCTTGGGTTCCCTATCACCAGCTTCCTTGTCCCTTTCTGCCTTCTGGTCCTTGTCACTGGACTACTGTACCTCATTAGTCCCATTTGGTTTTACGGGGCTGTCCACTCCCAGGCTGAACGGTGAACCTAGGAGATAACTTCACCACTGAGCTAAAAGGGTGTCTGGGGGCCATATTCTCGGGGTTTCTCCAGTCTCCTTTAGGCCAGTAAATCTGGTCTTTTGTTTTTGTGAGTCAGAATTATGCTCTACATCCTTCTCCAGCTTTGTCCAGAACCCTCTGTTGTTATCCTGGTCAGAGCAGTCAGTGATGGTAGCCGGGCACCATCTAGCTGTACTGGACTCAGTCCGGTGGAGGCCTTGGTAGTCCTCTTAATAACTTTTTGATGATACAGGCAGGTCCAGGTTATTTTGTTAGTCTAGACTTTGCCTTAATTAACATTGTAGCATCACTCCTTCATTAGCAAAACTGGAAACGACTTAGCTTCATGTGAAAAGGCAAATTAAGTGCATGACCACCTATTTTATGCCAGTCAAGAAACTTCTTTGTTTTCAGGGAGGGTAGGCAGAGTAGCGTCTCATTAGTTCTGGTTCTGGCTTTGCCTTTCAGAATTCTTAGACTTCCCAATGTAGACATCGTCCTTGGTGACTTTTCTCTGTCTGTAGCCACGACCAGACAGAAGTACAATCGGCAGGAGTTGTAAATGGAAGTTTGTAGGAATTTGGGCAGCTTTATGGAATCAGTCTTCACTTGCAAGATTGTTCGATAATGTTAAAAATAAAACAAATTGGTTTCGTGGTTCCTCTGTCTGCTTTTACCTTCAATTAACTTCCCTATCTTCTGATTTTCTTTGGTTTCTGTGGTTCACCACCGCCCTGGGGCCACTGAGATGCATTTACTGAGGCAGGAACTTGTTTGCCTTTGAAGAGTTTCATGTCTCAGCACCTAACCTACTCAGGAAGGTTGCTGTGGGGAAATAATGTGGTCTCTCCACATTAATAACATGATCCTTAACTGCTAAAAGAAGTATTCAGCCTTTAGCTTTTTTGTAGTCTCCCCTCCAAAAGGAGATTCTAAAAATGATTGTTTTTGTGACCTAGGTGTACTGAAAAATTCAGCCTCTTGGGTCCTAGCCATTGTTTTGCTATTTGTTGTGACATTTTGGGGCAAGCCTCATTTACAACCTTCTAGTGCTTTAGTTCCCCATCTTATAAGTTGATGCTGTTTTAAAATTAGCTTTGAGATAGTAAGTGTAATTTATGTTTAAGGTATTGTGTACTTTAAAAAATGGGAGAGGGAAGAGTTCTTATGTTTTGGTAACAAAGGGGCTTTTCTTTGGAAAGAAGCTTCATATGTGAAATCATGAGCAGTGGAGGCATGGGCCACTCATTTTTCTTTCCTTGGTTTTTTAGAGTGAAGACATAGTACAGAGAGGAAAGTTAAAAGCTGCAGGTATTGGCTAATTGCTGCATGGATGTGCTTCTTTGGCGTCTTTTTAACCTTCTTACATGAGTGGTGGTGTGCACATTTGAAAAAGTTGCCTTCATAAAGATGATGGCATCTTTTCTACATTCTGGGATATAATTTGCAAAGTGTCCATTCCTAGGAAGCTAAAAATGTTTTCTTGCTCTCTTTCCTTTAGCTGTTTCCCCAAGGCAGGTTTATCTCCCACTGGAACTGGCTGCTGCCTAGTTCTAACAGCCGTGAGAGAGAGAGAGAGAGAGAGAGAAATCTCTTTGAGCTTATACTTTTGCAGAGAGCACTAATCACAGCAGTGGGTCCTTCAGCTAGTTCATATCTTTGGCACTGATTGGGGGAGGAGATAGTAGTGATTAATGATAGAGGGAGGAAATGGAAAACTTTTTACCTTTCAAAAAAGGTGGTGTTTTTCCTCCCTTAGGCTTTGTCATATCCTCTGTGCTTTTCTTTGCTCTTTCACCCTTTTGGTAAAACAAATGGTGTGATTGTCTAGAATTTCTCTCTTCTAATCCAGTTTTACATCCTCCTGTTGTTTATTCCACTCCAATATTCTAGATGCAAAGTGTGCCATTCTTTGGTTTCCCTTATCTGTACTGATCATTTTTCATGATTTGGGTTCTTATGTTAAAGCAGGCTGATTGCTTCTAGCCTCCCATAATCAGGCTTTGAATTGTTGCCCTTTAAAAACCAAAAATAAGAAGTAAAAAAAGAAGAATAATGATACCTTAGAAATGAAGTAGAGAAAATTCAAGGCAAGGAAAACAGGCAGACAACAGGGAAAGAAGAGGGAATCATGAAAGTAAATTCAGAGTGAGAGGACAGGGGGTAAAAGAGAAAGTTGAGGCCTTCTTTTGCAGCATAGCCTTAGTAATAACCCCTCCTGCCATATCTTTATTTCTAATGCATCCTTTATGGAAAAAGCCTGGAATGTGTATCTAATTAAGAAATTAAAACAAAACCAAAAAAACTTAAGGCAGTTTTCTGTGAATAACTGACTTTTGAATTTCCCCTTAACATCTGTATTTTCATACTCCCATAATTGTTTTTATTACCACTTTGTAACCCTTTTCTAAAATTGAGTGACTTGTGATTAATTTATGTACTTTCCTTTCCAAGCATGTTGAATTTAATTATACTGAGATAACTATTGTGACCTGCCTGAAGAGAAGCGCCCTCCTTCATGTAATAGCATTTCCATCTTATAAGTTTTTAAAGCAGTGTTGCTTTATACATCGTAAAATGGATTTTAATAGCAGTGTAAACAAAAAGAATTTGTGGACCCTCCACTCCTGCTTTCCTTTTTAGCTATTTTATAAATAGGGCTTCTGAAGATTTCTTTTGAATAAAGGTTCTTTGGTGGGGAAAATGGTTTTAAAACATTACTCAAAATCATTGTTTTCCAACCTTTGGCTTTGTAAAAATTACTGGAAGGAGTGCAAATCTTGGTTACTGAGTAAACTGTCTTCTGTGTTTAAGTACTCCTTTCATATTGATGTGATTCTGATTAAGGTAGAGGTGTATTTAGAAGTTACAGATTTTCTCAATTGTTGTTGTTGTAGGTGCCGTTGAGTTGGTTCCAACTCATAGCGACCCTACGTACAACGGAACGAAACACTGCCCCGTCCTGCGCCATCTTCACAGTCATTATGTTTGAGCCCATTGTTGCAGCCACTGTGTCAATCTGTCTTGTCGAGGGTCTTCCTCTTTTTTGCTGAACTTCTACTTTACCAAGCATGATGTCCTTCTCCAGGGAATGGTCCCTCCTAATCATGTGTCCAAAGTATGTGAGATGAAGTCTCGCTATCCTTGCTTCTAATGAACATTCTGGCTGTACTTCTTCCAAGACAGATTTGTTTGTTCTTCTGGCAGCCCGTGGTATAGTCTATATTCTTCACCAGTGCCATAATTCAAAGGCATCAATTCTTCTTCGGTCTTCCTTATTCATTGTCCAGCTTTCACATGCATACGAGGCAGTCGAAAACACCATGGCTTGGATCAGACATACCTCAGTCCTTAAAGTGACATCTTTGCTTTTTAACACTTTAAAGAGGTCTTTTTCAGCTCATTTGCCCTGTACCGTGCATCCTTCAGTTCCTGACTGCTGCTTCCATGGGTGTTGATTGTGGATCCAAGTAAAATGCAATCCTTTACAACTTCAGTATTTTCTCCTTTTATCATGTTGTTGCTTATTGGTCCAGTTGTGAGGCCAGTCAGCAACCAAATTAGATTTTTTTTTTTTAGTTCAAGGATTTCCTTTTAATGTCAACAAATTTCAAGGAATCCCACTGGTTATGGTTGTGTTTTTATTTTCTCAATTAGTGAATAATAAAAGCATAACCATAACCAGTGAGGTTCCTTGAAATTTGTTGACATTAAAAGGAAATCCTTGAACTAAAAAATATAATTTGATTATTGACTGACCTCGCAAAGTTACTCCTTGGTCCACGTAGCTTTCTATAGGAAGCTTCATGTGATCAGCTCCAGTGTACTAAGGAGAAACTAGGACAAACCTAACCAGTAATCCAACCAGTCCCAGCTAGGGTTACATCTTCTGCCTGCCTCACAATCAGGGCTTGGTGAACTGCTTACTACTGTGTGTCAGTTACACAGTCTTCTCTCACTTGCAGCCTGTTTTTGCTCTCTCCTTAATACAAGGCACTCCTTGGAAACTGTGGGGCAGTTCTATCCTGTCCTGTAGGGTCACTATGAGTTGGAATTGCCTCGACGGCAACGGGTTTGGTTTTTTTGTTTTTACTACAATGAAAGAGCGCCCTTGCCACTTCTGCCTCTAAAGGAGTAGGTCAAACAAGCCAGGACCTCTGACAAAATAGAAAAAACCAGTTAGCTGTTGTTATAGTTCTAGATTTGGGACAGTTATGTCTGGACATTGGGCAGAAGACACCATTTCTACCTGCCTGGGTCAAATGCAGACAGGTGTCTGCCATTGTTATACAGATAGAACTTTTAAGTTGTGCTATCCTGCCTTTTACTTTTTTTTTTTTAAAGTAACTGTGTATGTTTAGGATTTTATTCATTTACCTCTTCACAGGTTGACCATAACTTCTCTTTCACAGTTGCGTGTGTTATGAACTGAACTTGGATGAAATCTTTGAGGTAAGGCAACCCTAATGATAAAAATGGAAAGAAGGCCTGTGAAATTTGGGAGCCTTCAGAGATAGTTTTAGAGTCACTGCCTAAATATTGAAATGCCACCATTTGCTGTTTGGAGGGATGTGGAGCTAAATTGAGAACGGGAGCACCACATCTGCCTCGACTGCTAAGTATATCTATTTCTCCTGCTCACCCATAATAGAATTTTTATGTGTTCAGTCATTAGTGTCTGTTTTAGCAAGTTTAAAGGAGGAGAGAGAATGACAAGACTCAGCCTACATTCATTCCTCTGTCCTTCCCTAATGTGTTTGAGTGTCTGTCCCTGGGAGGCCCCAGTTTTCTTCATTATTATCATTGTGGTAGTTTTTGTTTGCCTTTTTTTAAAAAAAAAAAAAACAAAACAAAAAACCAGAAGTCAGAGAATTGAAAAGACATTATTTCCTAGTACTCTATCAAGAGACAGAATGTTGCTATTCCATTTTATTTTATGGTAAATTAAGATTCCGAGTTAATAAAAATTTTTTGCCTGTGCCACCTAATGAATGTCACTGAGCTGGGGATTTTTTTAAAGTCCTTCGTCCCAATTGCTCTGTTGTGTGTGCATGCTAAGTTTCTGGTGGCCAGTTTGTCAGCCAGCTTGCCACTGGCCTGCTTCTGATGGTCTTTCCACTCACTACTTGGTGACTTTTCCAAAGTTAGTTTAGACCATTGCTGCCTTTGGCATATGGAAATTATGTTTAAAACCAAGGCTGACAACCCAAGTCGTCTTCCTTCCAGAACTGTTTTCAGACCACATGAGGGAAGCTTTTTTTTTGCTTCAGGTAGTTTCAGCTTTGGGGGACCTCAAAAACTGATCGAAGGGAGGAGTTTCAAGGATGTGAAACAAGTTTGTGTTTCTTCTGCTCTGTTAGCCACTGCTGTCTTCGTGGATCTGACACTCTATTTATCTGACAGTGCACTTAGTACTGCTTCGCCAGGGAAAATCACACAAAACAAGCCTGGTGCATCAGCACTTTCATTGTGTGCTGGGCTGAGCCTCCCTTCACATGGTCACATCCCCCTTTTAATCCAGTATTCCCTCTCCTTTCCCCGGTCCTGCCTGTTTTCTGTGGCACTTACTGCTTATTTCCCTGAGCTCCTGTTTCTACACTTTGTGTTTTTTGTGGGGCTCAGGAAGCTAAAGCTGTGTGTATTTGTGGATCAGACAAGTGCAGCAAGTTAGTATCATTGGCTTCTGAAGGAGAGAGAGGTGATGGCTATGTTTAAGTTGGATTTCCTTCCAGAAATGATGGTGGATCATTGCTCTTTGAATTCCGGTCCCGTGTAAGTATTTTTGTTGTCTAATTTTTATAATAAGTGGGAGGAATTAGTCTGTCTCTTTGTCATTTGATGAAGCTGATCTGTTTCCTTAAAAGAGGGAAGAAAAAATTGAGTGAGGAAGCTAAAGCCTGAATTCTCTCAAGCTATTGTTGTTTTCTGTTGTAGCATGCTTCTGTCTCATTACTGCTGGTTTCCTTGAGAGGCCGTAACTAAGTTCTTTACATAATGGTGCACTTGGTATGTGACCAGCAACATCAGCTCAAGTGTACTGGTTCCAGTCCCTTCAGGCTGTAGTGCTTTCCCATATGATATATTCCAAGGTATTTTTTTAAATGTAGCTTTTTTGCTTTGAGTTGAGTATGCAGAGAATTTTTTTTTTTAAATAAATTCTCATATCACAGAACATACTGGTAGCCAGAATGTATTTAGTGTTGTGTACAGCATTCTGTATTGATATGCAAAGAGTAGTCTGGACCTTGATGTTTTTCCCAGTCTAACTGAAAATGCAACTCAGCACAATTTCAGGAACATCAGCTGGCCCCCAAAACAAAACTGAATCAATCGTGATGGGCAGTTTGCCCAAATAAATTTTGAACATGGGAATGAGAAAGTTCATCAGCTTCCAATAAGGGGTAGGAAGTGACACTGCCATTGTACACAGTGAAAATGCTAACCTGGCCCTGAGGGAACCTAAATTTTGGGCTTTGTAGAGAAGGACGCATCTGCACTTCCGATTTCAGTTGCTTTAACCATGCTTCAAAGTATCTTGGAACCTCAAACAAATGAGTATTATGTTATTCAAAGCCAGGAATATTAAATGGCAGACTGTTCCCTAGATAACAGGTGTTAGTGGAAGCCTTTGAGCTCAGGCCTGCACGTGCAAATCAGTCTGCCCTGGGATTAGGGGTGACAGGTGTTGACAATAGCAGATACCAAACGACTCTTTGTGGGCCTCCAAAGTTAGCTGGCTTACTCTTTTAAAATGGATCCTATGCCTTCTCTGTAGTCTCCAAAATAATGGTAATTCAAATGTCCCTTTTTGTGAGGGTTCTTACTGTTAAAATTTTATTTTAGTAGTAGATAATGGTGAAATTGCAGTGAATACCATCGTAAAGACTTAACACATAATAAAAGTATTCCCGTGTCCCAGATGTATGATCCCTAGAAATTAGGATTTTGTGGCTCAAATTACGTTTCATTGTAAAACTTTCTGTCTGTGCTTTGCCACTGCCCAGTGTCTAACCCTTAGACACAGCATTTCCTGAGCCTGTTTTCTCATCTTTTAAGAGGTTGGATTAATTCAGTGTTGCATGAAGTGTGGATGGACAATAGACCACTGCATGAAAGTTACTTGGCACATACAAATACAGATTCCTGGATGCATGCCCAGAAATTCTTATGCTACAAGAATTGGTTTTTTAACTAATGTCCCGTGTGGTTTTTTTTTCCCCCACCCTTTTTCTTTTTTTTGTTCAACAATAATTCCCATTCCTCCTGCTCTCCAGCCCTGGTAACCACTGTATCTCTTATTTCTGTGCATTTGCCTGTGCTAGATATTACATATAAGTGTGATCATAGTACTTGTCTTTTTGTATCTGGCTTATTTTACTTAGCATAATGTTTTCAATCCATGTGGTAGCTTGTGTCAGAACTTCATTTCTCTTTATGACTGACTAATATTCGATTGTATGCATGTACCACACTTTGTTTAGTATTCATTCATCTGTTGTTGGGTACTTGGCTATTGTGAATAATGCTGCTTTGAACATTGGTGTACAAGTATCTGTTTGAGTCCCTGCTTTCAATTCTTTTGGGTATATACCTAGAAGTGGAATTGCTAGGTCGTCATATGGTAATTCTGTTTAACCTGTTGAGGAACTGCCAAACTCTTCCCCACAGTGGTTGTACCATTTTACATTCCCACTAGCAGTGAGTGAGGGTTCCGATTTCACCACATCCTTGTCAACACTTGTTTGTTTTCTGTTTTTCTGATAGTAACAAACCTAATGAGTATGAAGTGGTATCTCATTATGGTTTTGATTTGCATTTTTAAATGACTGATGTTGAGCATCTTTCATGTGCTTATTGGCCTTTTATATATCTTCTTTTGGAGAAATGTCTACTCATGTCATTTGTCTATTTTAAAATTGAATTATTTGTGTTGTTGAGTTGCAGAAGTTCTCTATATATTCTGGATATGAAATCCTTATCAGATATGTGGTTTCCAAATATTTTCTCCCATTCTGTAGGTTGTCATTTCACTTTCTTGATAATGTCCTTCGATGCATAAGTTTTAAATTTTGACCAAGTCCAATTATCTTTTCTTTTGTTGCTTGTGCTTTTTTGTGTCATATCTAAGAATCCAGTGTCGAAAACTAAGTCCCAAAGCTTTAAGCCTATGTTTTCTTCTAAGAATTTTATGGCTTTAGCTCATATATTTATATGATTGATCCATTTTGAGTTAGCGTTTGTGTGTAATGTGAGCTATTGGTCCAGCCTCATTCTTTTGCATGTAGAGATTTAGTTGTCCTAGCAACGTTCGTTGAAGAGACTATTCATTCCCCATTGAGTGGGCTTGGCACCCGTGCTGAAAATCAGTTGACCACAGATGTATCAGTTTATCTGGATCCATAATTCTGTTCCATTGGTCTATATGTCTGTTTTTATACCAGTACCACATTGTTTTGAGTGCTGTAGTTTTGTAGTGCATTTTTAAATTGGAAAGTATAAGTTCTCCTGCTTTGTTCTTTTTCAAGATTGTTTGGCTCTTCATGCTCCCTTGCAGTTACGTATGAATTTGAAGATCAGCTTTTCTATTTCTGTAAAAAAGGCTGTTGAAATTTTGATAAGGATTGTGTTGAATCTGTAAATCACTTTGGGTACTATTGACATCTTAACAAAATTATAACCCATGAACATGGAATGTCTTTCTGTTTATTTAGGTCTTTAATTTTTTCAGCAATGTTTTATAATTTTCAGTGTACAAGTCTTTCACATCCCTGGTCAAATTTATTCCTAGGTATTTTATTCTTTTAGATGCTATTGTAAATGGAACTGTTCTCTTAATTTTCTTTTCAGATTGTTCACTGCTGATATCCCATATGATTAGATGAATACTAAAGTTTGAGAACTAATGGACTTAATGCAAGTCATTTTTAGTAGAGTTAATCAGGGAGTACACTGTTACATAACCTTTTCCAAGCGCAGTTGCATCTGTTTTAGTTATCCGTCTTCACAGAAGCTTTATGCTAATTGGGCATGGGCTGTTGCCACACCACTACCTTGCAGATGTAAAACCCAGTTGAGAGAGACTATAGTAGACTTGCCTAAGAACAGTTGATATCAACCTGTGGGCCAAAAATTCAAGTTTAAGGATATCCTCTTTATTTTTTTCCCACATTGCAAGTCCTTGGGGCCACTCCCATGAACACCAGACACCAAAACACTACCCAGACAGTAAGGAGCTGGAAGAAGAAAGTTCTTAAGAATGATATGTATTGCCACCTTTTCCTAGGATTCTCAGCTCTCCTTTCACTCACACCATTTTAGTAGTTAACATCAGTGGTTTTCTCTAAGTGATGTTGCCTGGGGATGTGATCTAGCAATGTCTCTTACTTCAAATTTTCTTTACAACAGAGAAGAGGTGGTAGAGAAGCTCTGGAAAGGTTAGGGAGCTGGGTTCT